TCAGGGTAAACTCCAGTTTTGTCAAGCCAACCACTGTGCCTCACTGCGAGGTTCTGAGCCTGTCAAGCTAGGGCTTTTGGGGTGTTTTAGTGTTTCCCCATTTTTGTTTATATTCTGTATAGACTGAATGTTTATGTACTGTACTGTTCTAATAGGGATTAAGTGCCTGTCCTGAATGATTGTATATATTGTACATACTGTTTTGTTACGAATGTGCATATGAATGAAAAGTCTTTTTGCATACAGACTGTCACAACTCAGTGGACATTGTCTATTTACTGTTTTGGCTTCCGCCAGCCCCTGTACTCTGTATTACTGTATTACTGTTAAGTAGGCCTTCGGTAATCTCGGATTACTGGCCGATTACGGTGCTAAACCCATAGGGGCGGGTTTGGGTCGTGACAGTGGTATCCCTCCAGGTTAGGGAATGCCAAGTAAAGCGCATCCTGATTGACCAAGGCAGCTCTTGTGACATCATGTACGTCCGATGTTACAAGGAGCTCGGCCTTCACCCAGACGATATGGAGCAATCCAGTAGCCTAATGGTCGGGTTCAATGGAACGCCGACATGGCCACTGGGAACAACCAGCTTGGAGGTGTAGGCAGGCACCAGAAAGATAACAACAGAGTTCACCGTAATCGACACACTCTCCCCTTACAATATCATCTTGGGAAGGCCATGGTTGCATGCAATGGGGGCTATTCCCTCAACACTGCATCAACTATTGCGGTTTCCAACAGAGCATGGAATTGAGGAGGTCAGAGCAGATCAGCTGCAGGCAAAGAATTGTTCCATGGCAGCAATGAACTCCACCTGCAGCATTCGAGAACTAGAGAAGACAGAGATCGAAGACGAGGACGTAGAGGTCCTAGAGGATGTCGGCAAAGAGCCAGCCGAGAAGAGTGAAGAAGCACTGAAGAAAATCCTAGTCCAGGAACGGGATGAAGAACGCTTCTTTCTTCTCGGCTCAAGCTTAGTTGAAGAAGAGAAAAAAGAGCTGGAAGCTTTCCTAAGAGAAAATATTGAGGTGTTTGCTTGGACACCTTACGAAATGCCTGGCATTGACCCCGAGGTCACTTGCCATAAACTGAACGTTGACAGGCCGACCAAACCTGTAATCCAACGAGCAAGAAGACCAACATTGTTGCACGTCGAAGCAGTGGAGGAAGAAGTAGACAGACTTCTGGAGGCTAGGGCCATCCGAGAGGTAAATTACCTGACATGGCTATTGAACACAGTAGTGGTGAAAAAGAAGAATGGTAAATGGAGGGTCTGTGTGGACTTTATCAGCCTAAACAAGGCCTATCCCAAAGACAGCTTCCCTCTACCCAAGATTGACCAGCTAGTGGATGCCACTTCAGGGCATGGAAGGATGAGCTTCCTGGATGCCTACAGGGGGTATCACCAGATAGCCATGTACCCCGCGGATGAAGAGAAGACTGCGTTTATCACCCCAAAAGGGCTGTACTGCTACAAGGTGATGCCTTTTGGGTTGAAAAACGCAGGAGCAACTTACCAAAGGTTGGTAACCAAGATGTTCAGACACCTGATTGGCCGAAGGTGGAAGTTTACATCGACGACATGGTCGTGAAGACCAAGGAACCAGAAGGTCATCTGGTCGACCTCAAAGCAGTCTTTGAAATCCTTTAAGCATATCGGCTCCGACTCAATGCATCAAAGTGCGCATTTGGAGTTGGATCTGGTAGGTTCTTGGGATACCTGGTGACCAGAAGGGGCATTGAGGCCAGCCCAGATCAGATCAAGGCCATCATGGAGTTGAAGAGCCCGACGTTGGCAAAACAGGTACAAATGCTAACCGGAAGGGTCACAGCCCTGAATAGGTTCATCAGCAGAAACTCAGACAAGTGCAGACCTTTCTTCAACTTAGTAAAGAAAGCCACAGACTTCCTATAGACCGAAGAATGCGAAACCGCCTTGGCCAACCTAAAGAAATATCTGACCACAGCCCCAATTCTTTCAAATCCAGAACCTGAAGACGAGCTGTTTTTATATTTAGCAGTTTCAGAACATGCGATAAGCGCAGTGGTAGTCTGAGAAGAAAAAGGGGAACAAAGGGCTATTTACTATGTAAGCAAAACCCTAGCTGATGCAGAAATCAGGTATTTACCCGTAGAGAAATTGGCACTGGCTTTAGTAATGGCTTCAAAGAAGCTGAACCATTACTTCCAAGCCCATAAAATTGTGGTACTAACTGAACACCCCTTGAAGTCCTTACTGCAACAAGGAGACCTGACAGAAAGAATAGCCAGAAGGGCAGTCACCCTGGGCCAGTATGACCTGGAGTATAGACCCAGAATAGCAATCAAAGGCCAGGTTTTGGCCGACTTCGTGGCCGAGTTCACTCTAGAATCTATCAAACAGCGGGCTCCGTTGAGCCAAGGTGAACGATGTCCAAATGAATAAGAAGGAGCCCAGCCGAGGGCAACGGAACAAAGGAAGGAAGAAAAACTCAAACCCTGCAGCATTTATATTGGCGACTCCTTTCGACTGTTCGTTGATGGGAGTTCAAACTGACAGGGAGCGGGGGCAGGAGTAGTATTGATATCTCCAGATGGGCAGGTACTAGAACAATCGATTCGTTTAGGGTTCAAGGCCTCAAACAATGAAGCAGAGTACGAAACACTCATTGCAGGACTGAAACTGGCAGTAGCAGTACAAGCAGATAAGGTAATAGTCTTTTGTGACTCACAACTCATAGTTAACCAGACAACAGGCGAGTTTGCAACCCGAGATGAAAGGATGTCGGTCTACGCAAAGGAGGTCATCAGGTTGTCAGCTTTGTTTCAGAACTGCCGACTACTTCAGGTAAGCCGAGATGATAACAGTCACGCCGATGCATTGGCCAACCTAGCTAGTGCGGTACAACCTGGAAAAGCAAGAAAAATAATGGTTGACTATTTGTCGGGCCCGAGCATCGAACCACTGACTACAGAGCGTGAAGCAATGTGTGTAGACATGAGACCAAGCTGGATGGATGCAATTGTTGCATTCCTGAAAGAAGGAAAGCTGCCAGATGACCACAAAGAGGCACACAAGATCAGGTTGAAGTCGGTAAGATTCAGTCTGACAGCAGAGGGACATCTTTATAGAAGATCCTTCACTGGACCCCTTTTGAGGTGTGTACATCCTTCACAAGTTGAAGATTTTTTATATGAAATTCATGAAGGAATTTGTGGAAGCCACGTTGGGGGCAGATCACTTGTCCATAGGGCCATTACCTAGGGGTATTGGTGGCCCTACATGCAGAAAGATGCAGAAGCTTATGTGAAGAAGTGTGAAAAATGCCAAAGATTTGCACCTCTGATACACCAACCAGCAGCAGACCTGAACCTAGTATCCAGTTCTTGGCCGTTTGCCCAATGGGGCATGGATCTCATTGGGAAACTGCCCCAAGCAACTGGACAAAGAAAATACCTGTTGGTGGCAACAGACTGCTTCACCAAGTGGATAGAAGCTGAACCCCTTGCCAAAATCCGAGATGTTGATGTAAAGAGCTTCATGTGGAAGAACATTATCACTCGGTTTGGGATTCCAAGAGCAAAAGTTGCAAACAATGGAACACAATTTGACAGTAAGTTAATCAAGAGCTTTTGTGCAAAGTTCAAAATCAAGAATTACTTTTTCACCCCAAGTTTTCCTCAGAGCAATGGACAAGCAGAAGCATCTAACAAAGTCATCTTGTATGGGGTTAAGAAGAGGCTGCAAGCAGCAAAGGGAAAGTGGGTAGATGAACTGCTAAGCGTACTCTGGGCATATCGGACTACGCCGAGAAGATCAACAGGGAAATCCCCATTTGCCATGGCTTATGACACAGAAGCAGTCATTCCCTTGGAAATCGGCATCCCAGGGATCAGAACCCAAGGAGTGGAGAATGGGACCAATGACGTATTATTAGCCCGAGATCTGGATCTACTAGAAGAAAGAAGGGAAAGGGCTGCAATTCAGTTAGCAGCATACCAGCAGCAGCTTGCCAGGGCTTACAATAAAAAAGTTAACCCAAGGGAGTTCTAAGTCGGCAACCTAGTCTTGAGAAAAGTCGTCGGCAACAAGAAGGATCCCAGGAAGGGCAAGCTTGGCCCAAACTGGGAAGGACCCTACAGAATCACTTTGGTATTGGGTAATGGGGCATATCGGCTTGAAGATAATGAGGGCAAAGAGTTGCCAAGACCTTGGAACACTTGCAATTTGAAATTTTTCTATCATTAGAATTTTTTGTTCTTTTGTCATTTGCCGAAGTACATAAATAAAGTTTTCGCTTGTTTATATGTTTATACACTTGTGACTAATAAAGATACATAACGTTGTTTCTGGAATACATGTATAATGAGAACCCAAGTGAACTAGAGATTATTAACCATAGAAAAGCAAGGTTTATAAATTTAATGGTCTGAAGCTGGATGCTCTAGGATTTTTAAGCATTGAAAATGTCTGAAACTGGAGCAAATTCTCAAGCAAACTCCCAACTACCCGTTGATGGTTTACAACCACCAATATCAGTTGAGCGAGACCTTTCTATCATCAGAGCCTCCCCTCCCAAATCAAAATGTTCTTGATGTAGATGATTCTGATTTTAGTTTAGCTACTAGAAAAAACCCAAGTTTTGTATGACAATACTTTAAGAAGGAAGAAATTGATGGGGTATGAAAGATCATATGTAATTATTGTAAGAATCATCTTGGGGGTAATTCGAAACATGGAACCTCACATTTGCATGGTCAGGATAGGAATTGTCTTAAGAAAATGGAGAGAATGGACACGAGACAAAGAGTTTTAAATAGCAACTTTAACACAGAGAGCCCGAAAATCTCTTATAATTTTGATGAAGATATTGCTAGGAGAGAGCTTTCAAATGTCATAATCTTGCCTGAATACCCTTTGTCTATTATGGATCATATTAAGCTTAAAAGATATTGGATGATACTTCAATCATTATTTAAACTACCTTCTCGAAACACAATAAAATGTGATATTTACACCCCCTCATGGATCAAATTTTTTCAGTTTTTACGCTTGATTTTTTGACTTTAAACTCGACAATTTTAATGATACAATTTCGTATTTTACTCTAACCTAATTATCCTTACATTTTACTCTACCTTATCAATACTTTTCCAAATTTGTTTTTATCCAAATTTGTTTTTATTAAAATCGAGTTGGACAAATATAATCTAGTCTGATAATTTTGCGATCTTGTAATTACCCAAAAAAAATCATGATCATCGATCCCATGTAATCTTCAGATCTGCAGCATAGATAGAAAGAGAGAAGGGGGAAATCACGGTGCACTAGCAACAAAAGAAAGAGCTTTTAGACAGCCATTGAAGTAACAGAAGCAGAACCAAAATCTCACATATGAGTGCTGGTCAATCTCTCTCTCTCTCTAGGTTTTCATTATCTAATTTACTTTTTTTTTTTTTTAAATTTATTTATTTATATATATTTGTAAATTGTTCTAGTTTGCATCATTCAGCTTCAATAAAACAACCATGATGATATGAATTCATGGTGTAATAAGAATTAGGGCTTTTTCTATTCTTCCAAAACAATAGTAAAGTGGGTATGTATGTGATCAAAAGATTCATAAATATCCTGAAATAGTGAATCAAGCTGTGAATTGAGTCCCATTGAAGAGCTCATGTGTCTGTGCTTTACATATATTTGTCCATATTTTTTGGTTTATTTATTTATATATGTTTGTCAATATCATGTTTCTAGAGCAGAATTGCAAATGCCTAATTTAAACTTAATCATAAATCAAAAGTTTATTTCTTGATTGATTCACTCAAAAACCTTATATTGAGAACCCTAATTTTGTATTCTTAGTAATCACTTTGCATACAGATATGGATTCTAGGTAGACTGTCCTAGCTGGTTACTTTAAAATTTTGTCACATTGGCAATGAAAAGTGTTTTATCATAATAATATCTCACCCCCCCGTAGTGAGGGAGGTGTTGAAGGATAAACATTATCTTGTGCGCCTTCTACCTTATGAAACAATCAATTTACTTCATTATTTTTCGTAAACTAGGTTGGCCTTCATGTTGTGGTAGTCTCTGTCGACTATTTTCATTTCTGTTAAATTCAGTAGAAGAAATGGATTTTCTTAGTTAATCTTAGTTAAAATATAAAATAAAATAAAATAAAAAATTTGTGTACTCTGTGTGTGTGTGTGTTTTGACAAAGCTTTGTAATTTTTGTAGGTGGAGCATTTGGTGGGAATAGGGGAGTGAGACCAGTACCACCAGAAAAAGGAGTCTTCCCTTTAGATCACATGCATCTATGTGACCTGGTAGTATCACTTAAAGGCTCCTTCAGGAAACTTATTTACTTTTCTTTTTTCGGCACCCAAAAAAATAAAAAAGCTGCAACTCGTAGACATTTTGCGCGGAATTCCTGATGATATCTTTGTTGATTTTGAACTCAACTTTTATGATTGCTTATTTTTACATTTTGTTTCAGGAGAAGAAAGAATACATCAATTGTCTTAAATACGGTGGTCATAAATCTGAAAAGTGTAGGCACTTCTCCAAAACGTACCTTGAATGTCGCATGGAAAAGTGAGTTTTGTTGGTTTTTCCATTTTTTTTTAAAAAAAATAAAAAAAATGAAGTTTGTGTTTTTACACAGAGTAAAAAGATAATGGGAAGAGCCTTATTTAGAGCCAACATCTGAAATTTATTTACACTCGTTAGGTTAGATATGTGGTGGGCCTAAAATGATGTTAAACCTAATGGCAAGATAATATAGTGCCTTGTCAAAGGAGTGACATGAAATTTCATCTATATAATGTAGATATTGATAAAATTACAGTACTTAACCTTCGGAAATTGAAACTACAGAAATCGTTTATTTTCTTTTTCCACATTTTCTCTATATGCTTATTGGCTTTTCTCTTTTGGGATTGTAGTCTTGAAAGACAATTCTTCCAACACAAGAATTGAACTGTGAATTAAGACCTCGTTTGAGAACAAGCTATTTTAGTAACTTTTTGGCTAAAAATGAGGTAAAAAAAACTAGTATGTTTGGAATGACATTTTGGTTTTTTACGAAAAGGTATGCAAAAAGTAGAGATAAAAGAGAATTTTCAACTTTGTATAGGTTATAGACTTTTTGGGTTTTTTAGTAAATTTTTGGCTTTTAGACTAAAACAAGCACATGCCAAACGAGGCCTGAATTGATGATTTTCTAACCCCAAGACAAATGGCCGAGCGGTAAAGCCTAGAGAATAAAATCCACAGGTCTCGAGTTTGAGTTACACCTTAGGGCCACTGGAGGCTTGCCTGGTCATTAACTTCAGGGCCCTGGGATTAATGGAGGTGCGCGAAAGTTGGCCCAGACACCCGGTTATCAAAAAAAAAAAATGATGATTCTCTAACTCATTTTTGTTACTGGTCTTATTCATGTCTTTGTTTATTGATGTCAAATTTAGGATTTTATGCAACTTATATGATGTCAACCATGCATAAAACTACCATCTTCATCCTCAACTATTGTGGTCATAAACATTAAGATAAATTCATCATGCCTTACTATATTTATATACCTTAAGCTTCATACATTCACTGCTACCACATGAAGATTTTTATTATTATGTATCCTGCAATGGTTGTGATATTGAAGGCATTTCTAAGCCTGTTTTGGTTCCTTCTGCTGTCTTTTGATCAACTTATGGGACATTATCACTGAAAAGCAACCAAATAGGCTTGACCAATAATGCTTTTCTTTACTCATCTCTCCAATCTGTCATCTTCTTTGGCATTCTACTTTCAGTAGTCTTAAACTTGCTGTTAGAAGTATTAGTAGTTTCAGTTTAAAGATTCCTTGCAAGTATAAGTAGTTTCAGTATCTAGTATGATATGTAAAAGCAGGCACAGCAATCATTCAGAACTAAGGCTTTGGAAAGGGGGAAAGTTTGTAATATTTTGTATAATTGAAGGTTCTTCTTAGGTGAAGCTCATAGGGTAGGTCTGCACGACATCATTTCTGTTTTGTGTTTAAAATCTTGCTTCAGCTATGGAACTGATGGCTGTATAGCTATTTTAAGGCTGGTCATTTCCTTCCTAGTAAGATCATGCTTGTGTGAGTTAAAAAAGTTATTGTATTTCGAAAATTTGGCATTGCAGCCCTTGTCATAGCTTTGCTCAGGGTTTAATGTAAATCGGGAGAGGCAATTGGTTTTAGAATTCTGTTCGGTCTGCTTGGTTCCTTCCATGTATGAACTGCTAGTCAAATTGCGTCAGAATAGTGCTCTGGTGGCCATCTGTTGTATTGTCTCAGTCAAAAATTGGGAAATTTGGTACTCACACTTATACTGATATAGAATTAACCTCTTTCGAATTTGTTACATAAATTTTCCTTGTATCTCTATGAGGTTGCAGTTTGATGTAGGGTGTCTTCAGAAACTGCTTTAAGAGGAAAGATTTTTTATATGAATGAGAATGATTCAAGTATCATATATGCTTGTGGATTTTACTTCAATTTGTGAAATAGCAGTTTGAGATACTAGTGACAAGAATTGCCTTAACAGAAGGTTGTTTGATGCAATTATGTTTCCCATGTTAAAAAATAATTTGTAGTTCTATGCCTGGGGATTAATTCTCTCTTACTATTACATCACTTTTAAAAAAATAAAATAAAATTGTAGTGCTCTACGTATAGATGATCCATTGCCTGTATCTTTTCTTTTTCTTTGTTGCTTATAGATCAGTATAGTTAAACAAAATTAAGTATGCAAGTATGCATAAAGAACATGGTTGCTTACATCTACTGTGTTTGCTTTATTCGTGAGGACGTTAAAACGTCCTTAACGTTATGGTTTTTGAACTATAAATAAGGGCAGGCAGCGGCTGTTGTTTGTGGAACTATCAAACCATGGTTCCAAATCTGTTTGATTGCTCTATAGCTCATTAAATGATAGAAGAAAACCCACAATTTGTCTTTAGGAGTATTGCAAAATGAGATGATATAGTAAATAACTATTTTCAGTATTGAGGCTATAGTAAAAGTTTTTATTGACGTATGCAGGAACTTGATGGCAAAGCAAGACATGTCAGAACTCGGATTTGGAAAGGAATGTGATCTTGAAGCTTCTGAAGAGAAAAAATGAGGGGATGATAGATAATTGAGCAACTTTGCCAGGTTTTGTGAAAGTTTGAAGAGCTTTTTTTGTTGGACCCGATTTTCTGGATTATTCTTTCAATACAATGATACTCTCATGTTAAGAACACTTCGTAAAATAATGTGAATGCAGAACATTATGAGTTTTACGGTAGCATTTATGTTACACTTGGAAAAATACAGAAGCTGTGAAATGGTTTGTTGTTTTGTATATTTGTTTGTGTTGGAAGAAATCAAATCAACAGGTGTTGTCAAAATGAACATCTGTCACGTTGGTTGTTATAGTTGTACTGGTGGATCAATATGAAATCATGTACTATCCCATCTGTATTGGTCAGCCAATACGTTCTCAAAATGATAAGAGAGATCTACCAGTGGTTTGTCATTTTGAATAAAATAAAGGGAAAATACCAAAAACAAGTACTTAGGTTTGACTCTTAACAAATTGAATCTTGAGTTTTAATTTTAATTTGTTTTAATTTAAACCTTGATTTTTTGAAGTGATCTCAATCTCAGTCATTGATCCATCTCTATTCCTTGTTTAACAGGAAAAAGAAAGTTAAGCACACGTATCTCTTCCATTCTTTCAATTGTAAATTCAAAATTTGCACTTTACCAAACCAAATCATAACTTGGGGCTTTCCCTATGATTTCCCGGCCTTCTATTATATAAATTTTCGAATATTCTGACTCCTATCACAGGTTCTAATGGATCAGAAGTTGATTGTCTAGAAGATACAGGCAAAGTTACTCTAGAAGGAGGTAAGTTCCTAGAGGATTGGCATCTAGATAATTGTGGCAAAGGTGTTCTGAAATTGAGAAGCCTTCACATATATAATAGTATAGATTTATTTTTGAGGTGGATTTTGGATTCAACAGGCCATAGCTTTAATTAATAAACCTTCATTGAACAAGGGTAATTAGAATGATCAGGCCTGGAGATGAAGGGTAATTCTATTTCCACCCCCTAATAAACTCAGGGCAAATCTTTTCTCAATACACATCCCTATTAATTTAATTATTATGTAATTATCTCAACCCACATCCTTAAAATTACAAATAAATCCTTCACTCATATACACACACTTTACCCTCAAAATACACACTTTAATTTCCACCCACTCTCGTGAAGACCAAAGTGACCCCAATTTATATTTGTACTTCAAACAGGAAGGAAGAAGAAGTTGTTCAAACAGGAAACAAAAAGAAAATAAAAAAAATATGCACTTTCCTCACCGCCATTGAAGATTTCAAGAGCTCCATTGAATATCTACTAAACACTGTTGAAAACCTTGTTTAAGGTAAGAAATCTTTCAATTTTATTATTACATTTATCATTTTGTTATTAGATTGACAATTTTCGGATCTCTCTTCACTCCATTGGCATGAAAGTATGTTTGTTTTGTAGCTGGAAGTTCTCGGCACTGGGTTTCCTAATATATGTGTTTCATTCGGAACTTGATTTCCGAATATTATGCATAATTTCGTCCATTGACTTCCGAAAAAAATAGATAACTTCGTTGTTCCAGAACCGAATGTATTCTATATTTTCAGTGCTCTAATTCCGAATAAATGCATTGATTTCGGGACTTTATTGATGAAATATTTTTGTAGGTTCAGTCCTGAAGTGACGAATGGTTTTTTTTTTTTTGATATAGAACTAGGTTACATAGGCCACCAATATTTGTTTTACTTTAGGTTCAATTTTATTTTATGGGTATGTTTATGTATTTTTTTTTTCCCCCAAATTGAATGCATAACAATAGAAACAAAAAACTATGTAGTATTAGTATGTTCACATGATATTGTTAGCTTAATAGTTGGGTCTTCATAAATTTTGTTAGCTAAATAGGTGAACAAAATAATTGCATTTTATAGAGTATTAAAAGCTTGAGTTAATTTCACATCCTTAAAATTACAAATAAATCCTTCACTCATATACACACACTTTACCCTCAAAATACACATACTTTAATTTCCACCCACTCTCGTGAAGACCAAAGTGACCCCAATTTACATTTGTACTTCAGACAGGAAGGAAGAAGAAGAAGTTCAAGCAGGAAACTAAAAAAAAATAAAATTTTTTTGCACTTTCCTCACCTCCATTGAAGATTTCAAGAGCTCCATTGAATATGTACTAAACACTGTTGAAAACCTTGTTTAAGGTAAGAAATCTTTCAATTTTATTATTACATTTATCATTTTGTTATTAGATTGACAATTTTCGGATCTCTCTTCACTCCATTGGCATGACAGTATGTTTGTTTTGTAGCTGGAAGTGCTCGGCACTGGGTTTCCGAATATATGTGTTTCATTCGGAACTTAATTTCCGAATATTATGCATAATTTCGTCCGTTAAATTCCGAAAAAAATTCATAACTTCGTAGTTTAACCTCCGAATCAATTCTCTCTCTCTGTCTCTCTCTCTGCAACTTTTGCCCCCACCATGGCTGCTTCTGATAAGAGAGAAGAAGCACAAGAACAAGAGAAGACAATCCCTGTATTCACTGTCCTCAAGAACAACACCATCCTCAAGAACATCTTCCTCCTCGACAACCCACCTTCAGTTCCTGATCCCAAACCCTTCAATCCCCTTAAAAATAGCGACCAAGTTCAAGAATTTGAGGAAACCTTGCTAGTTGGACGACACCCAGATTGCAATATCACGTTAGAGCACCCCAGCAAAGTGACTACAAAAGAAAAAGTGTATATTGAGATATTTTTATTTCTAAAAGATGTGTATAAAGAATTTGTATATATAAGATTAGGAGTGTTCATCAATGGCTATTATAGTAATTTTTAATTAGGATATAATTGTCATTAATCTAATTTTTCATTAAGTGTGTTCACTGAGTTTATCAGGGTGGTGGAAATAGAATTTCCCGGAGACGAACTATAGTTTACTCAATTTACCTTTGATGGAGAATTTTGGCCTAAGATGAGAACTTGGCTTTAGGGTCTTACAGTGAAATTTAGAGCATAAGGTGATGGAGAATTTTGGTGATTTGCAAATGATACTGTCTTTGCTATCTTACTTGTCTTGATAGAGTGTGAAATCTCAAGTTGATCTTTCATTTATTTTTGGCTTAAAATCAGTTTAAAAGAACAATTACTGCCTCAATCAAGGTAATTGGGGCTTGAGGAAGTGGTAGGCCCATAATTTGTGATTGGCTTGCCTGATAATTATTTTGGTCTTCCATGTGGGGAAGACTGTACCGTTTGTGAATTTTGGTCCTTCCAATTGGAAATTTTAGTAAAGTTTGGTCAATTTATTGAATTTACTGCTTCACAATTTGGGGGAGGGGTGGAATGGATGGCATTAATGCGACCTATTTACCTAAGAATTTTTTTGTAATTGACAATTTGAAAGAGGTGATTTTACTTTGTGATAGAAGTCATATGATAGGGCCTACTTGGTATAGTTTTCTTTTTTGATGTTTTTGTTTTTTGTATTTCAAAAATAAAAATAACGAAAAGTTTGAAAACACCATTTTTTTATATCGTTTTAATTTTGTGCAAAAACGATTTTCTGAAAATTCAAAAAACAATTTAAGTTTTCTAAAAAAGTGTTTTAAGAATTTTTCAAAAAATATTTTTTAGAAACAATTTGCCAAACAAGTTTTACGAATCAGTTTTCTTATTTGTTATTTTTGTTTTTTGTTTGAGAACAGAAAGCAGAGATGAGACAATACCAAAAGTGCCCCCTACCTTTTTTAGATTTAAACCTATATCATATGCCTAAATATCTTTTTGGGTGATTTCAATTTGGTAATAGGAATACAGGAGATACCAGTTGTGGAGAGCATGTCTTTTCAATATATGCTTGTATCTGATGAAGGTAAAAACAGTTTTAACAACTGTTAGAAAAGTTTCAAGAATATGAACCGTATCAAGACATTTCATTATATCAGCCCAACTATCGGCTTCGTCATTGATTTCTGCTGGCCAGTCACTTTCACTCTCATGGTGATTCACTTTGTCCAACTTCCTTTTCTTTCTTCTCATATTGAGAGCTAAATTTACTTTTTATAATTCTTATGAACATGATAAGGAACTGTTATAAACTCTGCTTGTGAGTCCTTAGGCCATGTTTGGTTACTGGATTGGATAAATGGGCGATAGGACCATCCTTGGATGGGTGGGGGTTTTATGTATCCCATGGGATAAAGAGGATTATGGAAGATAATGCATAGTTTCCCATTCTATATTTGCGGAGGACTAGATTGGGGGTGGCATTATTATATGCTTGGGAACTTTGTCCATAGGTTTTTATCCTGTTCCACTTTATCCCCTGGAGTCCAAGGGTCAAACCACGGGATTGAGTTTATCCCCCGTTTGTGGGGGATTAATAAAGCGTCATATTCAGACACATTGTCCCATAGTCAAATTGTGCAACCAAACGTGGCATAAATGGGTCTCATAGATAAATAATCAAATCCTCCCACCCTTATCAAGTAACCAAACGTGCCTTTAGTGTTTTATCTTTTACCTTGGTGTTTTATCTTTATTTTACTCAATAGAATGTGTGGAGTAGAACATAATCAACAATCTGATGGAATTCTATCGTTGACTACAAATTGTCACCATCACCAATATCAGCAATATGATACAATCCATAATGGGAGGGAATGGAAAATTCACTTAAATCTTTCCATCTGTCCTTGTGGGGGGGGGAATCAAGCAATTGTTTCCTTGGGAAAACATTTGGAAGTCAGGGGCTTCGTTGTAGGTGCCTTTCTTTGTGTGGATAGCTGCTCTTGATTCTATTTTCCTAATTGGTGTTGCACGTGCCGCAAAGACAAGGTGTTGGTGGACCACTTACTTTATTGTGAGGTGGCGAGAGAGCTATGGAGTTCTTTTTTCTCTCCTCCCATTTTTGGTGTTTCCTGGTCTATGCCGGCCTCGGTTGTGTGCTTATTCAATCTTGGGCAGGTGGGTGCCCTTCCAAGGAGTCCTTAAAGCTTGGATGGTAGCACCCACGTGCTTCATGTGGAGCATACTTTTGAGAAGTTAGTTGTCAAAATCCAGATTGAATGTCTTTAATCTGTTAGTTTCCATTTCAGGCGCTGAGGAAACTATTGTGAAGCTTATTTTGCTCTTGAAATTTTTTTGGGGAGAGCTCTGTTTCTTGGATGTTTTTAGTTTGATTGTATACACCTGGTGTACAGAGGTTATGCTCCTTCTAATTTGTTTTGAATATGATCTACCTGTCAAAACAATATGATAATTTTCTTAATTTTATTGTAGAGTTGTCCAATGCTATCTGTAGCTTGTCAGAGATTTCTATATTGTGAGTTCATGGTGCAAGTCTATTTGTGGAGTAATTTGTAGTTTAAAGAAACATATGTGGTATTTTATGTGCAGGTGTAAAACTTTCTGGGTGGAGAACAGACATGCAGTGGAATGGGTCATCCAGAAAAGCCAATAAAATCCGAGAGCAGTACTGTTCAGATGCCCGACTTAATAGACACCAGTGTTCCTGATGATTCCAATACTGCAACAGATTTTATTAAAACACAGAGCGACCAACACATTCTGGAACAGAAGACAGCAACGGTCCCCATATTTGATGATTTATTTGGAGACAGTTTAGGCACTGGTGTGAGTGCCAGTGAACATAAAAATGATGATGACCCATTTGCTGATGTCTCATTTCTCACCAATGATGATAAAGAACACGTGACTGATATTTTTTCTGGAATGAATGCTGATAAACCAGGAACAAATGAGGTCCATATGGCAGCAAATGGAAATGGAAATGGACCTGAACTATTTGATATTTTTGGGCTCACTTTTGAAGGTCCACAGCAGGAGGAAAATCATAAAAAGATGTTCATGATTTCATGGCTGGTTTGCCAATCAGTGAAAATGCCTCAATGACTCAACAGAAAGGGGCCTCCCTGGGGCACACTCTGAAACCATCTTCTGAGACTCCACCATGAATCCCAATCACCTAGTTTCTAACAATGTTTTCAATGGAATACTTGATGGTTCTCAAGCAGCGGGGATGAATGTGAATCCTATGTTTTCTTTGGGTCCTATGGCATATAATATACCATCTGGCTTAATGTTCAGTCCTGCTTTTCCTTCTCAGCCAGTGAATTATTGTGCCATGGGGAATTTCTTGACCCAGCAGCAGTTCTTATCAACAATGTCAAACTTCCAACAGGTGGGAAATCTGCAATCTCAAAACACTGGTGTCAGTCATGCTGCTGGAACTAAAGGAGTATATTCTTCACCTCTTCCTGATATTTTCAATCCAAATAGTCCGACCTGAACTCCCAGTTCTGTGATGAACAATTCAAAGAAAGAGGAGACCAAAGCATTTGATTTTATCTCGGTAAGTTTGAGAATCAGCATTTCTCTCTCTCTCTCTCTCTCTCTCTCTCTCATATATGTATATAGATATGTGTATACACATAGATTTGGCGACGCCGGTAGGTGTCTCTCTTATATATATATATATATATATTTTTCCCTCTCTTCTTCAGTGCTTATTGAGAACCAGCATTTGCCTAGAGATTTTTGCATTGAAATTCCCTTCCTCATCTTGTATCATATATACTTGTTTTAAAAGTTAGCTTCAGTCCTACTTGAGTATATTTTTATTTTACCAACAGTCAAACTGCATGGTCATGATTTGTTTATTGACATACCTGCTTGTTTGCCACCTTCCCAATCTATGTTACCAACAGTCAAACTGCATGGTCAACCCCCCCCACCCACACCACCACCACAGGCATTGTTATAGATTTTGGATTGTGGCACATCTAAGCTGGCAGTCAATATTGACATATCTGCTTGTTTGCCACCTTCTCAATCTATTCATAGTTCAATCTTCACTGTAGTTGGGATTCTCTGTATCTTCTTTTCTGTATACACAACTGCCCCCCTTATGATCTAGGGTATTCAGTTGGTCTTTAGCTGTGATATCTTTCCCAATTAGTGGATGTTGTCAATGGAAGTGGCACGGATAGAGCCCTTTGGCAAGGTTGGGTGGTTCTCCCTAAAATGTGTTGCGGTGCACGGGGAGACAAGCTTGAAAGCCACGCTTGCTCATTTCTTTCCGACTAGGTGCTTTTAGTCCTTTACTAAAATATAATAAAAGGTAGGGAAAAGTCCCCTTGTTTTCTTGTTTAGCAAAACGGAACTCTGTATACAAGCTGTCAAGAGGAACCCCCATCCAAGGGTAGTTGTGATTCATTATGAGAACCTCACTTGTGGCTAGTAAAAGAAGTTTGTTCATGTAGAACCTCCAATGTTTTATGTGGAGAGTTTTTCAACTAGGCTAATATTATGCTATGAATGGCATATCATGAAGTATGCAAATAATCTTTTTGTATAGTAAAAAAATATGAAAGAGATTGTCTTTTTATCAATTTTGAAACTAGAAGTGCTGCACGGACCTTGCAGATGCATCCCTTCTTTAATCGTACTCGTACAAAAATGTGAGAGACTCCTAGATAGGAGAGGGGATAGTGGAGGGGCAGCACCATATGTATCTGAGGTTTAGTCGCAGGAACCTCCTATTTAGTTGACGTGTTCTCCTCAAAAGCCTGATTATGCACTCCCAAGTAAGAAAATTCTAAGAAACTCGCTCTTAACTGAGATAGAAACCTTACAAACATACAAATCTCACATAAACAAAAGAAAAACAACTTATTTCTGGTAGTTTCTATTTACATAATAAAATGATAATTAACAAAAACAATTTGTAGTTCACATAATCTCTTATATTTATTCATATTTTAACACATTACAAAAAAAAAAAAAAATGTTAGAATATATTTTTATAATTAATATAGAAAATATGTACATGCTCTCATAGGTGATTCCAATCGTAGAAACTTTTATATGCCCTTGCTCTCCCGCCTCGGCCGCCGCCCCCACTTTGCGCAACTAAGATTTGAGAGTGATCACTTGAACACCGTAACTTTTTTTTTTCTTTGAAATTTTCTTTGTTCCATACATGTGACTTACATATTGATTTGTAATTTGTCACTCCTAAAGAAAATTTTAAACACCCTTGGCTGTGTGGATTGTTATTTGTTATCCTTAATTTTTCTTTTTGAACACCTTGGGTTAATTGGATTGTCATATGTCATCCTTGAAAAAAAAAAATTGAACACTGCTGTTTGTTTGGGCTCATTCCCAATTTTGAACACTTTTTTTTTGTCAAAGCCATGGTTACCGACCCCCTAAATTATAATGGGTGTTCTTTGCCTTGGTCTGTTTTATACTTACGGAGGTTCATTCTCCTTTTTCTATTTCTCTTTCTGTTTCAACTCAGCATTCAGAGGTTAATTCCTTGGCTGATAATTTGGCTATGCTTGGTGCTAATCATGATTGCTCTCGGGTTTTTGATTCTCAGTTAGACTTGCCTGCTTCTAATAGGTCTAGAGTATAGTATTGCTGGAGCATTTTAGCTTGCCTAAACTTTAGGACTAAGCTTTTGTTTTTTCCCCATCTCGTCTATGTTTGTTGTATATCTTTGCTTTCTTTGAGGTTGCTAATCAAGGTTGCCCTGTCTGTCTAGGTGTACCTTTTTGTTCTTTTAATAAAATTTCCCCTGGGGTTTGATTTAAAAAAAGAAAAGAAAAGGCCAACTGTCTGTCTAGGTGTACCTTTTTGCCCTGTCTGTCTAGCATTTGCATTTTTATTGTTTTTGTGTGGACAAGTACCTTGTAATGAACAAAGAAACATAAAAGGCCAACTCAGGTGTTTAAAAGGCTTTTCTTTCAATACCATCCGTTTTGCAGGAAATTTGATTTTTCTGTGATATGTGATTTGTGTTATTGCCTGAAATTTGGGATAAATAACTGGATATCTTTTAGTCCCATCTGAAGAGTAATTGGAATAATTTTTTTAATCACATTCGTATTATGTTATTAAATGATGAAATATTGGTTGGTCTTGCATGATCATTTGACGGCTGCTCGAGACCCAAAAAGGGCCTCCGTTTGAGTTTAATAGTGGCATACTTATGTTCGAAGCAGGTTTTTGCTTCTTCCCAACCTACAAGGTTACTTATTCTTTTGCAATAATGTTCCAGTGCAGTGCAGATCAGATCTTAATGAATGAAGCTCCCTCCAAAAGTTCGTTGTATTTGATGAACTTGGGGACCATTGGTGCACTGGAAATGAGTGAATGAAAAAAGTTTTATGGGCATATCCTAATGTAGCTAAAGCATAGAAAAATGAGAGAATGTGGTTCTGCAGCTCGTTTTAGCTTTTGTATTTTGTGATCAGTTACCAATGGAATTTCTCGCCTTGAAACGAATTTGTAGAGTTGCATATTTTGTCACTTCTGCTGGTTGGGCTACTTGTGATATGTTTCTTCAGCTGAGCTGTGTGCATAAGATGTAGCTTTATGGAACAGTTGCTTTTCTCAGAGATTGTGATTTCAAGTAAATTCCATGTTCTTCAGCCCAAGATGTTGTGCTGTCATTTTGGACAATTTGTGTCAGAAAATTTTTTATTTGGGGAAATTACAAATATAAAATAAAATAAAAATTGAACCGTGAGTTTTTAATTGAGAGTGCTAATTTTGTCAATTGACACTCATTTTTCTCTATTCATCTTCATCAACAGATTTTACCATTACCACCACCACCGGCTCCTGTCACAGTCCACCTCCTCCACCAACACACCACACGCCCTTGCCTACCACTGCCACCACTCCCCTTTGCCCATACACATCCACCACAACCACCAGCTCCCCCGACACTTATACTGTAAAAAATTGTGCAATCACAAACAAATATACTCAATGCTGGTGGTAGCTCAATTTCAACCCTATAGCTGGAAAGGTTTCCCTCTGATTCAACTCATGCTGTGGAAATACAACTTCTGGTTGCCATGGGTGCTCTGGAAGAGTTGTATTAAGGTGCCATGGATGCTCATGCCGGTTGCCACATATATAGATCTTGAGTCCTGCTACTTCAATGCATCGTGGAAGCTTTTGATTATTTGATTGGTAGCAGTAAAAAGGGGAAGATGGAACAAAGAAAAGTGACTAACTAATAAGTGATAACAAGTGAGGAAGGAGTGGCAGGGAAGGGGGGAGAGTGAGTGCACGGTAGGAATGATGATTGGTTGTTCTAGTATGGTGGATAGCTAATAACATAAGTTATGATTTGGCTTGGTAAAGTGCAAATTTTGAATTTACAATTGAAAGAATAAAAGAGATTATGCTACCTGTGCTTAATTTTCTTTTTCCTGTTAGAATAAGCCATCATCGTTCCTAACAGAGCGTCCTTTTTTTCAATTAAAAGGACAAGTTTAGCACATGCCACCCGTCTCTTATCTTCTGAAATTCAAGTATTTTATCTATAAACTGACAAGTTTCACCGTTATTTAAGGACATTCAATTTTTAATGTTCCTTACTCCTTGTAAAAGTCTATAAAATGAAATTCTATATATTACTAGCCAACTTGAGTTTGGAGAGAGTAACAAAACAGGAAAATAGGATAGAAGACACTGTATGGTCGTGTCGAACCGTTGGTGAAGACACTGTATGGTTGTGTCAGACCGTTGTAGGAGCTAACCGGAATCATTGTCGGGACAGTTTACGAGGTCATGCCGGACCGTTGTAAAAGCTTGTGGTGGTGCACCAAGGAGGCGACTTAGGGAGTGCGCCATGGGGTGGCTTGAGTGGTTCCCATGGTGTGTAACCATGCTCACCATGATATATTTATAACCCTCCCTCAAACTCAAATAGGTGTGAAGATAGAAACCTATTTGAGGTTGAAATAAAGTGAGTGATAAAGGGGATCAAGACAGTTTACAGGGTCATGTCGGACCGATGGAGCAGACACTGTGTGGTCGTGTCAGACCGTTGTAGAAGACAGTTTATGGGGTCATGGCGGACCGTTGTAAAAAGTCGCACCCTCAAAAGGTGTGCCCAATCTTGCAAAAGGCGTGCCATCAAAAGGCGTGCCCAATAAAAAGGTGTGCCGGACATTATGGCGATGCGCGTGACTACCTTGGCTTGCGTGCCTATGTTGTCGTCTAGCGCCGAGCGGCGCACGATGCGCGTGTCGGCATTGGCTATTTAACCAAGACAGAGGTTGAGGCTGAGACAAAAACCGGCTAAAAAACCTCTGAAAACTCTTCGTTTTCTGAGAGAGATACTCTGTAACACTTTGTTGCCCAGAAAATGGCCTCTTCTTCCCGTGGTCTGCTCACTCTCTTTCCAGACCTCAATGAGTCCACAAGAGAGATAACTGGTGCGGTTGCCCTTGAACCTCAACCAAGCGCCCCTGGATATGCTCCGTTGAACTTTCCGATGCGGTCTGTGGAGCAAAGAATGGCAGTGCAATCTGATGTGGAGGCCAATCAGTATACATTGAAGTCATGTGTAGAGACCATGACTGCGGTCACAAACTTGTCGCACCGG